ACTCTTTCCTCTGGCTTTGCTCAGGGTCAAGTACAAAATATTTTGTACAAGTGAGATGCTGCATCATTGAGAATTTATTCTTTAGTGTACATTTCATTTCATTTATTAACAAATGAATGTATTGTTTATTGAAAATTTTCTCTCATACTGTGGAATGCTAAAAACAAATTCTCATTAGCACTCTTTTTAATGGGCATTCATAGCACATATCCATAAAGCACTTTATCCACAATCTGGAATGTACAGTATTTTCTTTGAGTTTAATTAATTGTGACAAGTGAGAAAAATGCAAATGAAATTATAGTGGCACAAATGATAGTTGTACCATTTTTATCAAGAGTTTCATCTTCAACAACCATAAGTGATTTTTCCAAAATAGACAGGTTTATATCTGTGGGGAGGAAGGATGTTGACAACTTGATGTTAAGGCTGCTTTTGATTCTACGTGACTTTTAAAAGAAAAACAAGTCTTATTTCTGATGTAATTGGCTAACTAACAAAAGAAAAAAGATTAAAGTGTGATCACACTGTAGTTGATCACAGCATGTAGTTTAATGATTAGAAAATGATAAAGTATCTGTCATCTGCTGGAGACAGGTTGCAGCTTCTCATAATGACAGGAAAATGAAGCATACAGTGGTAACAAAAAGTATGTGAAACCTTTGGTTTGATCTGCTTTTCTGTAGTAACTGGTTCTGAAATATGATCAGATTTTCATCTGAGTCATATGTAGAACAAAAACTATTTGCTTAAGTTAATAATACTCAAACAATTGTAATATTTATTGGCCACACCCATTAAACATTCATGAGCGGCTCTCTGAACTCATTCCACAGCATCTTTGTTGGGTTAAGGTCTGGGCTCTGACTTGGCCACTTGGTGGATTTTCTTTGAATGAACTCATTCAGTAGGATATTTACTTCTGTGTTTAGGATCATTATCCAGCTGCATCACTCAACTTCTACCCAGCTTCAGCTGGTGGACACCCTGTCATTTTCCTCTGTAAGATACTGTGATAAAATTAGGAATTCATTTTCCTCTCAATGGAAACCAGAATCAGAACCAGAAGCAACAAATCAAATCAAATCATGATGCTCCCTCCAATATATTGCACTGCTGAGATGATGTTTTCATGTTTTTACACCACGTCTCATTGTGGACTGATGAATATTGAAACTCTTTCATGTCCCTTTGTAATGCTTTCCAAATCAGCAATTGTTTATCGCGTACAGTAGGTCATCTGTGTTCAGTTTTGGTGAGGTGGGGTTCTATGCAACTGAAGGCTCTAAAAAAAACCCACAAAGTGCAAGCTGATGGTAATTTTTATTAGCACAATTATTTTATTACCACTTAAAATAATGCCTCAAATAGCAAATGAAAGTTTTGAGTCTCTTGCAAGTATCACTGGTGTGATATGATGAGGTGATAGCTGAGGATGATGAAGATGGTGATAATGTGTTAGCATCAAAAATTATGCTGTGGTTGCTTATGAAACATGAAGATGGTTGCTATAACAATGAGGGTCACGGTGATGATGGTGAGGATGGGCTCTTGTCTCCACTGGTAATGATGCAAACTATGATGATAATAATTTTACTACTCAGGAGCAGGTGGATGTTGAGGATGAATGATGACACAACTGTTGCTGAGAAGATGGTGAGATGGTCATGATACCGAACAAGGTGAAGAGGTGAGAGAAGAAGAAACTGGTGAATGTGATGATGAAGAAGATTGTCAAAATGATTAGAAAATTAATGGTAATAAAGGAAGATGTGAGAGAGGAAGAAATTGATGAATGTCATGATGAAAAAAATGATTAAAATAATTGGGAAAGAAGATGATGGTGGTGGTGGTCCATCATCTTGTGTTCCCACCTAGGGGCACTCTTGTCACCGCCCCTCCCATGGATAGCGTTACCACGGTGACTGCCGGTTTACGTGATGACGTTGGATGTATATGAGCGCAGGCGGCGGGATCTCTCTCCCTTTTACCGCCATCGGAGCGGAGTCTCTTTCTTCCTTGGACCACTTAACTGCGCAGCGACGCCTAACCATTCCAGCCTCTGACCAGAGAGCGAAGGTAAGGGACAGGGCTTGGAAATGGCTTCGGCGCTACCGCCCTAAACTTATGCTTCGTTTCAGAACTTCAATTCCAATTCTGTGGCCTTAACAAACGGAGACGGCTCTGTTCTGCTAATGCTGCTAATCAAGTCGGACAGCGGCAGCAGCCATTGAGATTAGCTCCACCATGATGTGCGTTAACGTTACACGCGATTAAAAACATAACAAATCAACAGTTATCATGTAGCTTATGTCCGTTTTTCTTGGATTCTTCTTACTATTGTTGCACTGATAAAAACAACAATGTCGGATATTTCATATAACTAATTGTCGGCGTTTTTCGATATTTGTTGACACGTGTCTCGTATCTTGTATTTTTGGACTTGACCTTATTTTTTGGAGGATGTTAATCCGGGCGGAAGCTGGGGATGGGACTCTAGACATTAGGGATAACGTTACAGCACGCAGAGGTTGGTTTAACTTGTGACTCGGTAATGTAACATTTCGAAAGCTAATTAGTTAACACATGGCACCGGAGCGTTGGCACCACTTCCTAACTGGCCCATATTTTTTTTTTTTTAGCTACAGCACGGTGTTTTTCGACGCTGTTCCTCCCACTTGCTCAGCCCAAGTAGTGCGCACCAAGCTAGCAACACATAAGCTAGCTAAACTAGCCGAGCACATCGAGGCAATGTATTGATAAGACCTGGTGGGCAAGCTAAAGTTAGCTTGTTTACTAGCCAATGGTCGGCTTGATTGTGGAGAAAGCGAGAGGACATTTGTTGTTTAACGTTGCCAGGTAAACGTCTCGACCGGTTTCCTGGTATGCTAAACCCAAATTAAGTTGAACATTTAGCTTTCAGAGTGAGCGGGCGGCCGACCACCGAGCGCTTTTAGTAAGTCATTGATGGTTTGCTAGACGAGCACGCAACACGTGGCCGCTGGTCAGGATTTGGGGAAAAGGTTTGTCCCAAAAAGGAAACGTTGTTTGGTCCGTCTGCTTCACCAGCGTTACAGACGTAGATCAGTTCTACCCTTTCTGGTGTCTAGTGGCTAGTTTTTAATCACTGGCTTTTTGGGGGTGATTCAAAAGTTATGTCTGTAGATGTTGGCAGTTGCTTTTAAACCGATCTTAACTTGTAATATTACCAAATATTGTCAGATAGGTCAGACAGTGAACCATCAGTTGGAGAAATCAAACTTTTTTTTTTTTAAAGGGACAAGGGCATGGGTTTGGTCTCAACAATGTAATACCCCCCACCCCTTAAAACCTATCCTGCAACACCACCCCGACCCTAATTACAGCCTCACCTGAAACATTGAAGCTGCACCTGTTCCCTCATCAGCCTGCGCTGCTTCCCTTGCCTACTGCTGATTCCTACATACAAAATAATTCATTTTCATGGGGTTTCTAGCCTATCCATGGTGATGAATGATTTTGGTGACACTACTGCCTACCAGTAGAGTTACTGAATATTTGTCTGAATAAAAATTCCCCTTAATTATGAAAAAAAAAAAATTCCTAACCATGGGTTGCAGTATAACCAGCAGATGGCCATTGATGTGTAAAATAATTTTGGTAATGCTACACTGGGTAAGAGGAAAAGCTAATAAATATATTTTTGTAGTAGGCTTATCCCTTTTCAGTGTTGCACTTTGTAGCCTGTCCTTGCGCACTGGTCTCACAGCCGGCTGCACCTTGAGACCAGTGTTATTTGTCTGGAGGAGAGGATGGCTTGTTTTGAGGGAAAATGAGCTTGTAGCTTGTTGTCTACATTACTACAAAACAAGAGGCGTCCTTTCTATTTTAGCAATGTTTTACTTATGACTTACTGATCTGGAAACTTCAAATCTAAGTGTCTTTCCAACATTACTAAAGTCAGCCACTATGATGTACCATTGTCAGCACACTGACAGCTACCACCACCTCTGTGTCTGGGAGCAAATATGACATTTGCATGTAATGTGAGCTTTTGATGGCCACCTCATTTTCAGTCGGTCAGGAACATTGGAATGATCTAATATGACTTCATTCCAATGATAACTTGCACAGGTTTGCTCAAATATTGGTAGGAACATTTCTATCCTCCCAAAATATTGATAGGGACATGTTCCTACTGTCCATTTGCAAGACTAAACTCTTGCATTGGGAGATGGTGTCTGATTAATTTTCATGGCAAAAAAAAAAACCCCAGATACAATTAAGCACGTAACAAATGTTCTCAACACCACAAGCATCAGCTGCATCTGGAAATGCTGGAGTTTGGTCTACAAGTGGAACAATTTATCTACCTGCAACTCTTTTGTCCCCTTTAAAAAGCAAGTATTGACTCCAGCTTGAAAAACCCTGCCATCACATTTGCAACAATGGAATCCTTGACAAGTGTGTACTGCTGCTAACAGCTTTCTAAAATACTTAACCATTAATAGTTTGTTGCAATATAAAATACAAGATGCTTGTGGTGGAGGGTGTCATCTTTGCATAGTGTATTATGGGGCACATAATTTGTCATGCTTGTGCATGTATGCATTTGGGCTATTGTTGACTGAAAAGTGAAAGCTTTAAAGTGTATTACCACATTGAAATGTGACAGAAAGCAGCACAGTTTAGAAATGGGATGTAATGAAAGCTACATCATAGTCAACACAGACTGTATTCATCACCCAAAAGTGGGGCTGTGGTGCTGGGGGTACTCAATCTAGCATAATGAGCGCCTTGGTGGTTTTAGCAGAATGGACGGGACCAGGCATTTTGAGTAGAGTCAAGACATCACATTTCTGCAAGTTTTTGTTTTTTCAACAGGTGTTTTTGATTAATTACTCTCTCCATTACAGTTCGTTTTATTGTAGATGTTGAGTGAGGATGTCTGTGTATAGCGAGACTTGAGTCTGTGTGAGATGGAGGGAGGACCACATCAGAGAAACGGAACTTGCATTCGGTTTTAGTTTTGTTGTCATTTATCTAAAATATCCCCAAACTGCTGAAACTTCTTGTTAGGTTTGTGTAATGTTGGTTTTAACTGGTATTGGTATGTAGTATTTGGGGTATTATGAGCACAGTACTTGAGGGTGGTATTGGGCCAATACTCTTATGGGGATAGGTGCATCCCTACCGCAGTGTTTTAAAACTCATTCATCATGTATTGCTTACTTTAATGTCACCCTTTTGAAGCTATTATTTTCTCATTATTCTAGCATCACTTGAGACTCAGCTAAGATGGCAGACATCGACAAGTAAGTACGTCTTTCTGGTATTGACTACTGTAAACAGTTGGCCTCTAAACCTTTTCTCTTCCCTCTAATCTGGTCTTGTATCTGTGTTGCCTGAAGTGGGTCTTTGGCATTTGAAAGGAACACACTGATTGGGATGGGAGTAGATGTACGACACGAGTAAACCCACAGAGGCCACAGCTCTTGTGGAATCAGTTGTTTACTAAAACTAGTAGGTATGGGACAGTGTATCAATTCAGTTTATCATGATACAAATAGCCACAAAATGTATGACGTCTTGTATATACTTTGTGTTCTCCATACACCAGTGACTTCTGTTTCCATTCTACTTCTATTTTTTCTAAATAGCCTAACAGAACGCAAGTATATCTGGTGGTTCTTTACATAATCAAACCAGTGCTAGAAAGGGGGGATAAATTACTCCACAGCTAGTCATACATCATTGACATTTAAATTGTCATGATTGTATACACTATATCATAATCATTGAATCATAAATTCAATGCATGATTCAGTGCATTGAACCCCTAAAAGATAGGGCTGTCTGGGTTGCCACACCCAGGTTCAGGTTAAATTGTAATGCATACGAGATGCCTCAACATTTGAGCAATGCACCTTTAATGTCAGTCCATAAGGAGTGACACTCGGTGGCTGTCATCCAACACCGATCAATGCTCTCTCTCTCTCTCTCTCTCTCTCTCTCTCTCTCATATGCGCACACACACTCCTTGACTGTTAGCCACAGATTTTTCACCTTGTGCCACAGACTGACAGTACTATGAAACCCTGTGCCTTTGTACCATGCACTGCATCTCAAAGCTGGTTATCATGTTTCAGTGCTTTGCACATCATCAAGGGGGGAAAAAAAGCTAGTTTTGCTGGCGTTTTAGAGCTATACTGCATGCACTAGTTTTAACAGCATATAATTTCCATCCTTCTCTTTGACCATCATACGACTTTCACCAAGGCACTTGAGTAGGGTTGCAGCTGTTGCTTAAACTTTACATAATCTGCCATTCTCATGTTCATCATGGAAGGTGTGAATATCTGACTTTTTCCAGAATATGGTTTTCCCAGCTTAATTTGTCAGTTTCACTGATCAGTTATGTTTTTAGTCTTTAAAGAGGGAGTTCAGTATTGGTGTCTCACCATGGCAGCTGATGGGTGGCCGGAGTTGCTGGCAGCCTCAGCCTAAACATACCATTAGTAGTTTGGTGGCATGTGTTAAACCTTTGTACTCAGACAGGTTGAAGTGTCTGTTTTGGTGACCTTTCCTTCTATATCTCCCCGAGCAGCAAAGACCAGGCTGAGATGGACCCAGCAGATATGGAGGATGTGGAGGACGTGGAAGAGGAGGAGGCAGGAGAAGATGAAAACAGCAAAGGTAGGCTTGTCTGTGGAAAATACCACATGGTGCAGTTGCCAATTTGGGACTTCTCTGGGGCAGAAATCATGGCTTTACGGTGCACTAGAGCCATCCTTAACATAACTCTTCCCTAACACTATAAAGTTATAAAAACTGGAGCGCACAGGGTTCCATGCTTGCACTTATTTTTAGGGTTACTCAAGACAAAATTGAACAAATTTTGGAGCACAGGTGGAAAATTTAGGGGCATTGTTGCATACTTTTTCAAGAAATGGCAATGCTGCTGCCTCGGTGTTAAATGATGACAAAGGTAGGAACATATGAATGTTGGAACGTGAGCTGTCCATAGCTAGTGGACAGAGATAGATGTGGTAGGGATGAGGCCACAGTAGACTGTGCATCTGCTCCACTAGTTCGCTATGGTTAACACATACTTGCAGTTGGTGACAGATCACGGGCAAAGCTGAAATGATTGCTTCTCTTTGTTTATGCTTGTTTAGCAGGTGAGTTGAAAAATTCCTCCTACTAGCTTTTTACTTGGAATGGTTTTATTGCACATACAGTAATGAGCATAGGTGTTGTAAACTTGAATAATATGTTTCACTCTACCTGGCCCCTCTCTGCACCGTAGCATCTCAGCTGCTCTCTGCTCCACGTGTGAAGTAACTGAGCACTGCCTGTAGTCGGACATCAACACAGAGAGAAGACACGGCATCAACACCAAAACCATATTTTTGATCTATTGGTCTCACTCACTGGTGTCTTCAAGGACTGATAAAATGCTCCTGGTCTGTTTATAGACTGAGAACTCGAGTCAGTCACGCCTCATACATCCAAATACTCTCATATGGGAGTGAAATGCTCGCACTGTAGAGCCCTGGTGTGTTAACACTGCTCCTTCCATTCGATTGTGATTTACTGCATATACTAAAGCCTACATGTTGCTTGCTGGCTAGTTATGCCTTAGTCCCACAAATCCATCTTCCATGGATGTGAGAACAGAACAGTGAATATATATATTTTTTTCCCTTAATATATCCAGGAACAGAACAAGGATTGATGTAATGGCATAGACTCGCTGCTACCTGCTGCAGAAAATTCACTTTGCTGCGGTAATAGATGCACACAAAGGCATGATTGCTGGCTTCATCTCTGGGGGAGGTTCTTAGGAGCCAAAATAAGTTTGAATTTTTGACCAATAATTTGAGAGAAAAATAAAACTACAAAGAGATGTGTTCGAATTGCCATGAGTGCTCGTGGTAATTTGGACATGCACAATTTTCAACTCTCAGTACTCCGAACAGGTTGAGACCAAGGCTTTTTTGACATGAGATCTTTTGATATTGAAATGTGATGATATTCTTTGTTGAGGCAAAAACTCACAATATCAGTACATAACAGAACCAGAGCAGCAGCCGGTATGATGGGAGTGCGATGGCAAAGGGACGGTGCATTCACATTAGTCCAGAAAAAAACTCCCTGCTGTGTTAACACACAAAGCTGTGTTGGTCAGGGGGTGAGGGGTTGCAGGGGGGTGTTGTCTGCATGAGTATGTAGTTTTGGTTAGCCCTGCTGCTAATGTATCCTACTCTACCTTGGCACCAATTCTACTATCACCAGTGTGTCTGCATTGATGGATAAAAAAAAAAAGCAGTTTAACATCCAGTACTAATGAAAATGCATAGTGTGTTAATTGTGGCCCAAATTCAACAGTGAATAGCAGTGAATGCTCTTGCTGACAAGGTAAACAAAAGTCTTCTTTCCGATTGTCCTTCCTATGTGATTGGTCAATGCGTGCCTTTGCCAGATGTCACCCTCTCGTGCACTGTGGTGATTGTCAAAGGAGCACAGAAGGTCTCGCACAGCTTCAGTTAGAAGTTAGAAGCTCATGCATAGTTCATTCACAGTTGTAAGGTCTAAAGAGGCTTGTATGAAATCCTACAGGTGACAAGCCAGTCAGTTGAGTTTGGGGTGAAACCTTTTACAATGCTTGCGTATTGTCTTTTATGATAACTTCTACTCAAAGTAGAACTTAAGTGACATCTATTACACATTGATTAGTTAAAACATTTCAAGATGCACCTGCACTGTTTAGCATTTTGTGACTCAAGCAAAATTTTTAGAGGTAGAACATGATTTAAAGAACAGTAAAAAGAAGTATTTTGCCGACACATGCTCTTCCCCCACCCCAAACATCTTGTCACAGAATCTCCCCCATCCACCATGTTTATGTAGCCATGGGTGCACAGTGGGAGCTCTCTCCCTTTCTTTCAAATGAATGGAATAGATGCCTCTTGGATGTTCAGAAAAGAAAAGTGAGAGAACAGTGATGACACGCGCACACACACACGCACACACACACAGTATTTGGTTAAAAAAAAAAAAAGTGTAAAAAGGGCAAATGTCCGGAAATGTAGTTTACGTTAACGTTCACAAGAACAGGCGGCACCTTTCCGTGATATAGTGGTTTAGTGCCTTCACCCGACACACCCCTGCGGTTTCAAAGTAGAGAATATCATTTTTTTATTATTTTGAAATTAGTTTTTTGTTATTCAAATTTGGCTAGGTGGTTAACACATTTTCCCATGGCATGAAAAACTCAGATCGCATTGATTTCTACTTCAAAGTTTGCAAAGTCAGATGCATAATTTAGCAGATAAGTGTTAAGCTTGGTCCTTCAGCAGCAGAATAACAGTCAGAACTCTTTACACTTCTGCTTTTTAAACTGAGCAATTATTGGGATGACTTGCTTTTGTGTTGTAGCTGAGAGCACTAATCTATTTTGGGATTTGTATGCTGTTTATGCATGCTTTGTTGCTCAAGTAATGATTCTGTTGACTTCTCATATATTAGCCTACTCCTGTCTCCTTTGTAGGTAGATGTAGATGGCTGTTTGGTTGTTTCTATTTATAGCCAGAAGAAAAGTCTTTTTGAAAGCCAGACATAAGGCTGCTCATTCTAACTGCCTACGACTGATGTTTCATGCCTACCACACTCTCGGGAAAGCTGTAAATGATGTCTGGAAGCTGATTGGATATTGGAGAAGCATGAGTAATGCACAGTTGCAGCTTCCTAGTGTTGAAGTGCAGTGCAAGCTCTCATCAAGAAATCTCACATTAAGGCTGCTGTGAGACACTACAAACAAACTCTGAGGGCCCCCCACAAATGACAGCTCTGCAGACTTGTGAAAGTGAACAGTTTCTAAACAAAAGGTGAAACTCTGCTGTCACCATAGTGTTTATTATAGAGCAGCTCCCATCCTCAACCTTTATTTACCGTTTGCTCTTCCTTTTCAAAATGGCAGTGCACAAGAGCTGCAGCTACAAACACATCAGTAAATAGTTGCAACTTGGCACCAACACTGGTGAGGGCACAGGTATCAAACCCTTAAAGCTACAGTATGCAGATTATGGCAGCACTAGCATGATATTCCAAATCAATCCATTCTGCTCTGCCCAGCACTCCCACACTCTCTCTGTGCTCTACTACAGTTTGCTATGCTGCACCACGCTCTGCCCAGCTCTACAGATGTTTGTCCTTAGGAAATTACAATAAATGAGAAAGCAACTTACTGATCAAGCAAATATTTGAAAATATCTTCCTGGTTAGAGAGGTCAGTCCTATTAAAAAACATTTAGAAGCTAACATCTTTGCCCTGTTGTTCAATGAGTCTGGTTAACAGAAAGCTTCTACACTACCACTCCACATTAAGACAAGTTTTGGATCTTATTTCTATTACAGGAATGTTTGAAAAAGGCTGTTTTAGCTCTCAAAGTACAAAGTTGTGATGCAGCTGGCTTGTGTGGATGCACATAGTGATATTTCAACCAACAAATGCTAAGCTTCTATAAAGGTGCAATCAATGTTTAATCTATTGTAATTGGAACTTGCAATATTTACAGCCTCTAATATTTGAAAGAACAAATAGCAAACTTTTTCAACTACCTTTCAGACCTACAGTCACAAGGGTTTGATAGCTGAATGATGGATTTTAGGTGGGGTATACCGGTAAGAGCCATTATATAATGCTTGATCAAGGTCTGGAAGTAGATGGTAATCCAGGGAAAACGCTGGTGGGCAAAGGGGTTGAGGAAAAGTTGGCTATGTTGTAGGTGTATACCTCAAAAAGCATTCTTTATCAAAACATCCAGACAACAGCTTGTGTTAAAAGAATTCGGACTAGCATGGGTGTACTTGTTTGACTGGATGCATTGTCTTGGACAGCTGGTCTATTCTAGCTGGTCATACGTTACAAGCAAAATGCCCATGATGTGCCAGAAAATTGACTTCTAGTCTCTTTAATCTTTGCACCTGCCAGCAGCGATCTGACTGAGCTTTGATAGGTGCAAGCAAAGCATTGGACATTTGGCTTGTACCATCTGTCCCTTGTCTGTTTTCATAAAAGGAAGCACTCTGTTGCTGACCGCCACTTCTTGTCTCTATGCAGCACTGGCTATAAAAGCACATTAATAACTAGACTTAATTCAGTCTGTAGTACATTCTGATGTAAATAAAGGTACAAGGAAATAAGCATTCTAGATAAAGGTAAAGACACATCAATTGACTGACGGAATGAATCAGATCTGTGCTGGAGACAAATTCTTGTGTTTAAACATACGTGGCCACGAACTTGATTCTGATATATTGGACAGAAAACTGCACTGGCAGCACTGCGTTTTTATGCAGTTGGTGACTGCACAACATAACTGTCTGCTATCATATTGTACTTCAGACCGTTCATGTGTTTGTGTCCTCAGCTCGTCAGCTGACTGTTCAGATGATGCAGAATCCACAGATCCTGGCTGCACTGCAGGAGAGGCTGGATGGTCTGAACGGTTCGCCGTCAGGGTACATGGAGAGGTGAGTCATCTCCTTGTTACCTCAGCTGCACCATAGTTAAGATGTTTGACATCTCTAAGGACACCCAAGGCAGGGGGAGATGCATTTAGCAGTGGTTGACTACCTACCATTTGATGTCTTTTTACTTTTCTTGGTTAGTAAAAACTTCATATTGGACAGAACTGTAGTATTTTACAATTTCCAAAAACAAATTGAGTGCAGTAGAGAACAGAATCAAGATTATTTCTTTTTAAATATAAAACTTTCTCAGTAACTTGTGCAGATTTTTTTTTTTTTTTTTTTTTTTTTTTTCCCCACACTGCTGTTGCTGTGGGCTTTCACAGGTTTAATCACATACTCGCACTTGGATTGTAGGTGGATGTTTTTGCTTGTCCAGTTGTATACACGCATGCTAATTAGTTTTCTAAGTGGTGACTGCACCTTGTTGAGTAGAATTGTTTATGCAAATGAAGTTCAACTGAAGTTCAGTCATTCTCGTTTAACAGCAATATTCCAGTAAAAGAAACCTACTGATTCCAGAGGCAATGAGACACTAAAGTATTCAGCACTGAACACTCGAGCCCCTACAGGGATTACAGTCAGGCTATATTGTATATACTGCTCTGCTGCTCTTAGGCCAGTTATTATCAATCTAAACCTGCAGGTTCACAGACATCGCTTTGTATAGATCAGCTTAATAGGCAGTGGTGACCCACTGCTGCAAAAAAGAAATGTATGCATATAGCGGAAACACTGAAATTTGTAGTAAAATGCAAAAACAAAACGCAAATAGATGAAGCTTTTATTTTTCTCCTGGAGATCACATGGCGGTGAGTATGAGGGGTCTTGCTGTGTTGTGCCTGTTCCAGTCTTTTTGAAAAGCCACTGTTTGGCTTTACAGATTATTTTATTTTTATGCAGTGTAGCACATTTTTAGGCACATGCTATTAGTGAAAAGCCAGTATTTACACATTCACTGTTGTGACACACATATGAAGCTTTTATCATGAATTTAATCACAATTGATACCTGTAGCAGTTGCAGGGATGTGATTGCATTCTCTTGGTGAGGCTGTTGATTTTAAGCTATTGTTGCTGCACTAAATTGGGTGGATGGATACTTGGGCAGTGATTTTGTTACACTTGTACTTGGTTTGGAACAGCAGGTGAATCCCAGCTTCCCTAATTGTATCTACATTTACCTCATTAGTGCCTTTTCTTTGCATCTTAGTCCCACCCATGTAAGGCGCTGGGAGAAACTGAAGAGAAGGGAACTGAGGAAATGTGCTGTAACTGACGTGAGACATCCTTTCCCCTGGTACTTCATGTGGAGTGTCAAATCACAGATTTCTGATAAATGGATCCCTAACAGATTTCTGTGAAGGATATACTTGTGTATCCAGGGGTTATAGTTCCTCCAGCCCGTCTCCTTGGTCTTCAACAAAAATAAGAACTTTGGGACGTCGTGCATCATGGCAGATTGGAATGTCTTCCAGGTCGATAGAGAGATTTGGATTCGCATAGTGTCTTATCTGTCTCAGTCACCCACTGTAATGTGGAAGGAGTGAATACTACTTATAGCCTTAGTGATCCTACTACTGGAGCTTGATTGCTAGCTTGTTAAAGTGACTTAAGTGCAGAGGTAAAGTCAGATTAGATGCTCTGTGAATGTAGTCGTGTGTCTTGGCTGCAGGGCTTTGCCATCCACTGCTCTTCTTAGCAAAGCCATCAGCAAGCTGCTCTCTGATCATCTTTGTCAAGCATGTGGTCACCAACAAACTCAACAGTTTGAACACTGAAGCACTTGAGACCAAGACCAGATCGGAGTTTGCCAAAACTTACCTGAGGAAACCACAATCCTTCTGGGACAATGTTCTGTGGACAGATGAGATAAACAGAGCTTTTTGGTAGAGCACATCATTCTACTGTTTTATGAACAAGAAATTAGGCCTTTGCTGCTCCACGCACTGGTTGTCTTGACTGTGTGTATGGCATTGACATCTGAGGACCACCAGTGTCAGAAAGTTGGGTCTCCATCAGAGGTCATTGGTCTTACAGCAGGACAATGACCCAAAAAATACTCGAACACATCCAGAAATGGTTTCAGACAATGTGCTGGAGAATGCTCGGAGTGGCCAGCAATGAATTCAGATCCAAATCCCATAGTGCCAACTGTGGAGAGATCTCAAAACAGCAGCTGGGAGAAGGAACCCTTCAAATCTGAGAGACTTGGAGCAGTTGACAAAAGAAGAGTGGTCCAAAACTCCAGTAGAAATGTATAAGAAACTCACTGATGGTTGCAGGAAATGGCAGAATTCAGTTATTTTGTTCAAAGTGTGTGCTACCAAATATTAAGTTGAAAGTATCAATAATTCAGTCCAGTCTATTTTTGGAGTTCTGTGTATCAAATTCGGCTTTCTTTTTCCCTCTGCCTTTTTGTGTTGTTCTAATGCAAACAAAAGAACTAAACATGAGAATACCAATGAATTTGTGGTTGCAACAACTTTCTGAGAGAAGTGGTGTTTTATCTGATAAATGTAGGGGTGCCAATACTTAAAAGCATGACTGTAGTTAAGTGTGTACTTTGAAGGCCAATGTGACTTGAGATCCTCTGGGCCAAGTGCTTTCAGGAGATTAGTTTCAGAGATATTTACTCTCCATTATGGACATTTTCCCAAGTGTTTTTTTTTTTTTTTTTTTTTTTTTTTTTTTTTTCACCCCCCAAAACAAGGGAAAAAAAAATAAACAAAATGATTTTCAGAGATGTGTTAAAGGGCTGCTCACACCCAACACAAATGGCAGCCCAGCTGTTTTTGTTTTTTACCTTTTGAGTTTATAGGTTACTTTTGCATGGTTGGCCAGAAGTGCAGTGATGTAGTAATTTGTGGTGAAACAGCAGATTGAACTAAACTGGCCTACTTGGATTGTTGCAGGATTGTACTCACATTTTCTGTCCATGTTATCATTCTCCAGTTTACCAAAGGTTGTAAAGAGACGTGTTAACGCCCTGAAGAACCTGCAGGTCAAATGTGCCCACATTGAGGCCAAGTTCTACGAAGAAGTACATGAACTGGAGAGAAAGTATGCAGCCCTATACCAGCCCCTCTTTGACAAAGTATGTCATTTTATACACATCCTTCATCCTGATTGAGTACTGGTACTGTATTTCTGCAGCTGTGTTGCTTTTATACACATCACTTTGTCAAATGGAAGTACAGACAGATGATAAATGAAAGGAATAACCAATAAAATGTCTGTGAGGTGTTGGTCCACAATGTGCCATCAGAACAGCTTCACTGCAAATTGGCATCAATTCTAAAAGTCTCTGAATGCTACTTGAGGGATGAACACCATTCTTCCAAAAAATATTCCCTTGTTTGGTGTTTTGATGATGGTGGTGGTGGAGACATCGTCTAACACGTCTGTCAAACATCTCCCATAACGGTTTAACTGGGTTGAGATCTGGCAACTGTAAAGGCCATGACATAGGATTCACATCATTTTCATACTCAAACCATTCAGTGACCTCTTACCTTGTAGAGATGGGCAAGCTGTCATCCTAGAAGAGGCCACTCACTTATTCAGGTTTTTCCTTAGTTTTTCATCTGTCTGTGCATTTCTTTGATGGAAAATAACTTTTTAAATGTAGATATCCTTAAAAGTATAGACTAAGAAAATTGTCACAATTCAGCTTTCATTAATGAATCTCCTATGATGTGGTGTTAGTGGGCATGATCAGTGTACAAAGCTATCCTAACAGTGTTTGCATTATGAGTAACTGGGGGGGGGAAGCATGTGGGGGTTGATAACCAAGCAGCAGTCTCCAGTGCTTAGAAATGAAGCAAATGCGGAAGTACCAAAACCTGCAGTTCCTTGAGTGGCAACTTGAGGCTGCTCCAAAGGGGGGTCGATCCCCATTGACTCCCATATTAAATTGCCAAATTTATAGCAGAAATAAATGTGTTTAAAGCCTGCCACAAATAAAGATTTCTCTTTAAATGCCCCTTCCATGAGAACTGAGCTTTCTTTTTTTAGATTTTTTTTTTTTTTTTTTTTTTTTTTTTTTATTAAGTAACTTGGCCATTTAAATTATGAGACCAAAAGTTGCACTTAATTAACGGTGTGTCCGCTTTCAGTGACAAATGGGGAAGTTGCACCATAGGTGGCTGGCCCACTGGCTGACTAGAGGGCTCCACTCATGCTCAGCCTCTTTGGCAATTATTGGATTAGACATAGCAGGCAGAGTGAAGTTGTACCAATATGGCGGTGGCCAGACTTGAGCTTCAGAACTGCTCTTCAGGAATGGTGGGTTTGTCCATGTGGTTGATAGACGTAGCATGTGCTTGATATGTTTATCTGTACAGCTCTACATCCTGTCAAAACAGCCCACACAGAGATGGGCCTATGATTTGGTCTTTGAAGCAGACTCGGGCAGTTGTACTCATCCATTTTAGTGCTTGGATATATTGCAGATCATTTCTCTTGTAGAGCACAACATCTTGTGGCTTATAACTCAGAGTATAAATTCTACTATTCTATAGCTCTTTATTTCAGGCTGTAACCCTGGATTTTTCCCAGATGTTAAAAACAATGCTCATTTCAGTTTACCAGAGCCCATTCTTTTGTTGAGATTACAAACCCCAGAGTCTTAGTCATAGCGGATTAAGGAAAGCGGCAAATCTCATATACTGAAAACATTCTAGCTGGAAATAGTGTTTAATTTATAAGTAAAAATACCAAAATCAGTAGTCAACAAAGTAGACTTTTTTTTATCTTTATAGCTCTGTTTATTTAGGTCTAGTGCTTATAATCCAGCTCAATTAACTGGTACAGTCACTTGCACTAAAAAAGACCTTTTTTTTTTTCATTCTGAGGGTTGTTGTAGCTGATACTAGTAATTGTGTAATACAGTGATATTTTCTCAGACAATTATCATGCTGCAAAAATCTCATACTGTTGCAACTTTGGTCTCTAATGAAGAAGGTGACACCAGCGACTGAAATGAGCTTATTTCCTTTGTTCTAAATTGGAGACATGGGAACTGAAACATGGTATGTTGTAACAAACCTTGTCAAGACATCATCTATAGAGCTATTAGTGTTTTAACCCTTAATAACACAAACTAATTTGTCTGAAAATGTGACATTTTGTATTAAAGATGAAATTTTTGCCAGGGCAAGTGATTCAGTATAATATTGGCAAAGATGTTCAGCGTGGAAGACTAGACTAGAACATCAAAACATGACAAGACACTTTCTCATCAAGCGAGGCTGACCATCCTCTCATCCTTGACCAACATCAGTTTTGTTGTGAGGACTAGACTTGACCCGTGTTGACTATTTGAAACATTAACCTGCATGTTTCCGATGTCCTAATGCAGCATTTTGAGTTGCTTATGGTTTCATGCAAACCCACAGAGGAAGGAAGTTACCAAGAATGGCCAAGGCTGTCATTTCTTGCCCCTACAGTGATCATATCAGGACAGACACACTAGAACTCACAAACCTGTAAAATAGTTTTCTTGTTGTTCACAGCGAAGTGACATAGTGAAAGCAGCTTATGAGCCCACAGAAGAGGAAAGTGAGTGGAAAACAGATGAAGAGGAAGAGCTGACAGTAAGTAAGCAAGTCAGGTACAGGTGACATATACACCTGCATGCCTCCTGTCTGACTGAACACTTAGAAAATTCAGAATGCAGAAAGCTAAATTTGACCTGCTTTCTCATTTGATGCATGTAGCTTATTGTCTCATCCAGAGCTGAATAAGGCTCACTTTTCACCATGGCAACACTGCATGAAGCTAATAATAAAAGCCTAATTCAGATGTTTTATCACTACCACTAATTTTAATTGCAGAGCAGTAGAGTTTATGGAATTGTAATGTCTTGTAACTGCAAGCTTGTGCTGTTTGTCTTTAATCTAATCCTCATTGCTAAGTGTTCCTTTTGTAGGTGTAGAGCATGACTTTTTTTTCTTAAACTGTGTACTGTGTGAAAAGAAAATGGTTGAGCAAGAGAAATTGTCTTATCTGAACCAGGAGGAGATGAAGGAGAAAGCCAAGTTAGAGGAAGAAAAGAAGGATGAAGAGAAGGAAGACCCCAAAGGCATCCCTGAGTTCTGGTTAACGGTTTTCAAAAATGTGGACCTGCTCAGTGACATACTGCAGGTGGGTTCATCTAGATGGCTGCCACCGAGGCAGAGAAATGGGTCACGGGGCGTAATCACACCCAGCAATGAAAAGTCAGGGTTTGCCTCCACCTGCTGGTCTTGTTGTGTAAAGCAGGGCTTTGCAGGTGGATTAAAACAAAAGGTAGTTTATTTCCAGCCATAAATTAAAACTGAAAAGCATGCTTGCTCCTTGTGTTCTGTATGATCTTCAAATGCTCCGGTGCTTCCTCTCCCCTCAGGAACATGACGAACCCATCCTTAAACATTTGCAAGATATTAAAGTAAAATTCTCAGATCCAGGACAGCCCATGGTGAGTCAGGCTCACATGCACATACAGACCTTAAATGATTCTTTTCAATTGAATGAGTTGTATGTAATCATAATCACCTTTGGTCTACTCCAGAGCTTCACATTAGAATTCCACTTTGAGGCCAATGACTTCTTCACAAACACAGTGTTGACAAAAACCTACAAGATGAGGTCAGAGCCAGACGAGAATGACCCCTTCTCTTTTGATGGACCAGAGATCATGAGCTGCACAGGGTGAGTACAGGACCTAATGTTGGTGTTTGTCTCAAATGTTAACTTTCATTTGTGTCCTGGTAGTGTGTAGTGTGTTTTATTTTTCATTCATTTAATAAGCTGCCACCACGGAGACCGTGACCTGTACCAAACATTTTCCAGGGATAAATGCCAATAATTCTAAGCACAGACTCAAGTCACAGACTCCCTAAATTTAGTGGCCCAAGTACATTTTTGGTGTTCCAAATCTAAACATATGCAAAAACAAGACAGAAAAGTTAATTTAGCCCAACTTAACACAGCCTTCCTTAACTGTGACACCTCAGTAGATTAAACGACAAAGTATGAAAATGTGAAATTTTTTTTAAACCGGAAACTTAAGGTCCACTTATAAACACTCACAGTGTTAGTTGAATGAATGTGCCTCATATCTGCCCTTTTGCTCCGTCCCAGCATCAGTCATGTCTACAGTAGAAAACCTACCAACCACAGTACATACTTCCAACTGTAGCCTTCTTTGACAAAGTATATGGGCAGAATGAATACAATTTAATTATTTAAATTGAAATAAGTTCTTTGAAAACATGGTACATATCCTTTAGGTTAATCTTTTTTTTTTTTTTTTTTTTTCCCATTCCTGTTTTTATAGTCCATTTTGTGTTTCTGGTTCTTCTCTAGCAATTGTTAGGAGTTTGATTAGACTTAGTAAAACCATACTTCAACAGGCCCTACATAACGGTAGCAAACTGGCAAGAAATGGTTGCCAAAGCAAATGGTCAGATAATGCTTTCCTCGAATGTTGAACTAAACGGCACAAATGATTTGGGATATTTGTGAAATGTTAAAGCTGCATTGGCAAAGTGCAGGGGGTCTGAGCCATGAGGTCTCATTCTCACTAGAGATTTGATAAAACTTGGTGGCCACGGTGGGCCACCTGCTGGGGACATATGTGTGACCACAGTAACTTTTTGTGGCCACAGGTAGAGGGGTGCTATATATAGTCTATGATAATATTTTAACTGTTTTAACAGTGTGCCAGCTGGAATTATTGTGTCAGTCACTTTACAAAAACAATCAAACACGCCTTGAGTCTAAACATTCACTGCCTTATGTAATCTAGACTTCTGTCCGTGCACATTGAGAGTGCATGCAACATGTATATGATCAGTGCGCCACAATTTCAGCTAGCATAGCTGCCTAAAAATACATTAGCAAAGATAAAAATGAGAGAACAGACGGTGCCAAGAGACAAAATATGGATATGTCTTAAGTATTTATTAAGTAATGGGAATGCTCGGATCACTTTTCTTGGAAGAATAAAAACGAGGTTGCTTTGCTTCTGCATCGGTTTGCTCCGTCTGCTTTGGTTTGCTACTGCACTTGGCTGTTGTCCTCCTCTCTTCCTGACCCTCTTACTGGTTGAGCAGCAGTGGTTGAAGTTTGGAAATATTTGAAACAAATGAATTGGATCACTAATTGCACAGGTTGGGCTGTTGTGTGTTGCTAATGCTTTGGGTCCACACTGTCTGCATCTGCATAGGATGAGTCCTTTGAGTCTTCAAAAATATTTTTCAATATTCCCCTGAACTGAAGGAGCAAACATCCAGGGTCAGAATTTAATAATTGGTATTAACTTTATCCACTTGCAGATCAGTTGAATGACTTGCAGTTATATATAGTATCACAAATAAATCAATGTATGGGAAACATTGAAATGTTTCCATTAATCATTAGTATGCAACCATTAATATGTTATGAACAAGAGTAACCTAGTACAGTGTAATCAATATCTTTGGTGGATGAAAAATATCTGCTTATGGTTACTGACAAAATCCCAAAAAATATCCAGATATTTTGTGCCAGTATCTGTTGTGGAAAAATTATCTTTTGAAGCTCAGTGAGTGAAATTGCCACCACATATCCCAAAATCCTAGGCCAGTGGGCCATGGTTAATGTCAAACTCTGTTTTCTACCTTTCTGAATCATTTTCACATGCATGCCAGTGAGCTCACCACTGAGTCCTACCATAAATCTGAGATGTTTGATGCTAACCTTGCGTTCCCCTGCTGCCTCTACCACAGTTGCACAATTGACTGGACAAAGGGCAAGAATGTCACATTGAAAACAATCAAGAAGAAACAGAAGCACAAGGGTCGCGGCACAGTCAGGACAGTCACTAAAACAGTCCCCAATGACTCCTTCTTCAACTTCTTCACCCCACCAGAGGGTAAGACTGAAGGTGCAGCTCTGTTGAATAAGGGTGTAGCCTCACAGAGGTGATCCTACATTGCATTTGATAAATGATTAGATATTTGTGCCACCTGTACTGTAAATAAAAGCTGTAACTGACTTCCATGTATTCTCCTGTTTACAGTCCCAGACAATGGAGAATTGGTGAGTCCTTGTACTTCTCTACTTGTTTATGCATTTCAGTGTTATCTACTGGAACTTAAAGGATGTTTGTATTCAGTCAATGTTCCACCGGTGCTTCATAGCAACAGTACTAATACCAAAACCATATATGGGAAATAATTTGTCTGCGAAGTACTTGTCACCTCTTAATTTTGATTTTAGTGATTAAACTTGATTAGAAGTACAAGAATAATTACAATCTTTCAGAGAATATATTTCAATAAAACGTTTTTCCTTTTTTATTGCATCCTTCACACAGCGATGCAAGATAAGAATGTCTGAAACCTTGATGAGAATCTATTGTTTATTGTTGAGAATGGGGACTGTTTGGGGAAACTCTTCCTCCTTGATATTTGGAAATGCTAGGTTGAAAGTCTAGACAACGCAATACAAATACTCTAAGGTCTAAATTTCACATTAAACACAGGCTGTCATGCTCTAAACAAAGGATCATGATAATGTAGCTATTACTCTGCTCCTAAACACACACACGTGGTGGAAGTGCTGGATCAAATTGGACTGCTCAGTGCTGGTTTCTTTATATAAAAATGTAAAGTAGCACAACTTTAAGGATGGTGGTTTTGATGAACTGTGTTGATTCAGGATGAGGACTCTGAGGCACTTCTGGCTGCCGACTTTGAAATTGGCCACTTCATCCGTGAGCGTATCGTACCTCGGGCTGTCCTTTACTTCACAGGAGAGGCCATAGAGGATGACGACGACGATGTGAGTATCACCAACCAGTTTGGAGAGTATTCAGAAGTTTTCCACATTTTGTTTCAGACTCATCTTAAAATGGATTCACTTAATTTTTTTTTTCCCCCCTAAAATACACAAAATGCTCCACAATGATGGTGAAAACAGGCTTTTGGGGTGTTTTGTAAATTTATTAAGAATAAAAAATGAAATATCCCACTTGGGTAAACCCTTGGTTATGACACTTGCAATTGAGGTCTGGTGGATCCTACTACTATCAGTGGTTTTTGAGTTGCTTCTACAGCTTGATTAAACTCCAACTGTGCCTAATTTGATGCACTGGATATAATTAGGAAAGGCACACACCTGTCTATATAAGGCCTCATAGTTGGTCTGTATGTCGGAGTAAAAACAAAGCCATGACGTGGAGAGAACGGTCCTCAGACCTGCGAGACAGGCCAAACGGAGCAATCATGGATGAAGGGCCTTGGTCAGACCAGTAACCAAGAACCATGAGTCACTGTGAATGAGATCCAGAGTTCCTTTCTGGAGATGGGTGAGGCTTACAGAATGACAACCATCAGCTCGGCACTCCATCAATCGGGCCTCTATGGTAGAGTGGCCAAATGGAAGCCATTCCTCACTTTAAAGGCACATCACAGCCCACTGGGAGTTTGCAAAGGGCACCTGGCACTCGTACCATGAGATGCAAAGTCCTCTGGTCTGATGAAACAAAGACTAAAATATTTGGAAATGATTCCTGACTTTGCGTGTGTGTGGAGAAAACCATGCACTGAACATAATTTCACTAATACATCACTAAAAACATGATGGTGGCAGCATCAGGCTGTGGGGATAATTTTCTGAGTCTGGAATTGAGAGATTAGTCAAGATAGAGGCAAGGATGGATGCCAAAAAAAAAAACAAAAAACATTTCAACGAGACGACAGCCTGAAACATGCCACCATGAAAACACAGGAGTGGCTTCAGGAACACACTGAAAGTCCTGGAGTGTCCCAGCCAGAGTCTGGATCTGAACCCAATAGATCATCACTGAAGAGGGCTGGAAATGGCTGTGCACCAACACTCCCTATCCAACCTGGTTGACCTTGAACAATTCTACCAAGAAGAATTGAAGAAAATTCCAAAAGAAAGATGCCAAGCTTGTAGCTTCATTCTCAAGGAGACTTGAGACGGTCTGCCAAAGGTGCTTTAACCAATTACTAAGTGAAGGGTCTGAATTCTTGCGTGATTGAAATATTTCAGTCTTATTTTTAACAAATTTTCAGAACACTCGACCTGTTTTCACTTTATCATTGTGGAGTATTGTGTGTAGATTTAAGGCTCTGAAAACTTTTCATACCAACTGTAGACTGTACACTTATTGGACATTAACTGGCTTAACATAATTGTCAGCTACAGGTTTCCTTGGAAGTTTTTTTTTATTAGATTTATTCTTTCAAACGTAGAAACAAAAGATATCAACACACACATAATTACACAAATCCAACCAATGCTAATCCAGAATCAGTTTGCTTATACCTAGTACATGTTTGAATGGAGTAGGAAGAAGTCAGACTTATCCAGTCCTACCCCATAACATCATCTTATACAAAAAAATTTCATGCATCATTGGCTGCAAGCAGTATCTCTACATAGGTAATTCTCTTCTTCGCCAGACAAGTAATACACAGAAAATTTTAAAGTGTTTCATTCATGCATTCTTGATTAAATCTCTTATTCTTGCATATATCTTGAATGACACTTTTATATTTATATTTAAACTCCTCAATTCTAGTACTGTTGGGATTCAATATGAGAGAATTAATTTGAGAAAAATTGTCAGGCTGAGCTTGACTCAACATTTTCTAGCTAAGTATCATGTTTGTTTTTACAGTATGATGAAGAAGGGGAGGAGGCAGACGATGAGGTAAGCTTATTATGGCAATATTCTGGATGAAATAATTGATCACAGTATAAAAATATGTGGGTTTTGTATTGTGGTTCAGTAGACTGATGTTGCTGTGCACTGTGTGTTCAGGAAGGTGAGGAGGAGGCTGATGAGGAGAACGACCCTGACTATGATCCCAAGGTGAGATTGCTCTCCTACTAAAGATGTCTGGTGTCCTGAGAAAGACCTTGCTCAGCTGTTCTCAACTTTGTTGGCTCAGGATGCTCTTTCCATCTCTTACTGGAGGCCGTGATGGCTGCAGTGCACTGTCGCAACCTTTTGATAATTCAGGAGTGAGTTTTGGTATTATTACACTGTGAAATGTTTAGCAGTACACCATCCGGTGCTTTGTGGGGGTCCTGAGCTGCAGGTAGAGAACGGCTGGCCTAAGTGGGCTTGTCTCATTTCAACAATCAGAATACATACTGTCAAATGCATCTCATTTTACACCAGCTTTTGGTTTGCTTCAGATTTTTTGTTGTGATCTTGATTTGACTTGCAGTCAGCGACAGAAACGGTCCCCCAGTAGACGCTTTCTCTCTGCACACCAGGGTTTTAACAAGATCATGAGCCTTTTTTTTTTCCAGCATTACTCTTCACCAATTAGTTCGTTTTACCGACACTTGTATAGGAAACATGGCACAACAAAGTTTGAATGAGAACATGTACACAATGGTTTTACTTCACTGTATTCCTGGTGGAGGTAATGCAGCTGCAAAGTTATGAATAAACGGGTTCCACAGAAGAAAAGCAGTGAAGCGTAAAAGTATTTCACTTGTCTTAATGGTGCTTGCAAGTGTCTTAATTCATAATGTATTAAAAGCATAGCATCACAGTTTGTTGCTACACTTGTCTGCAGTGTTTGCAATTGCAGTTTGTGTGCATCATATTTGGAATCCTCACAGTGCACATTTATGGCTTAAGTGTTGCTTGAGTGATCTGGCCTTGGGTTTAGGGGATTTTATCGGACTGAAGCAGCTTGTAAGTTTGACACTACACAAGATACAGTAAACCAGTATGACCTCTGCCTTTTCTTTGCTGAACACAGACATCTTTGACATTCTGTATTCTGCTAGTTTTGCTTTTCTCCTATTAATGTTTTTCTCCAGTCACTTTGGCATTTTTTGTCAGCTGCTCTTTAAATTTTTCCTCACTAGGTTTAAATGGTGACAATAGAAAAATAACCCTAATCCTGGTAGGTACAGCTTATTACTGTCGCACCCTGATTCTCCACCCCCACCTGCATCATTGGTTTTAGCTTTTCTTTCCACCATCCACCTCTCTCCACACCCCACCCCACACATGAACACCCTGCCTCTGCCGCCGTGCTGCACCCTCCCATTTACTAACACCCACTTGGTTTGTTGTTGTTGGGTTTTTGTTTTGTTTTGGTTATTTTTGGAAGTTTAACCCATTCACCCCTATTCCCATATCCCATAATGCCTTTCACCCAGACAGGTTCCGGTGTAGAGATTATGAGCAAATAGCAACACCACATCTTGTCAGACACAAAATTAAGTGCAGGGTGCAAATTTCTGGATTGTTCCAAGCTGTATAAATGAACCTGGGAAAGATAGGTCTTGAAATATTTAAAGGTCGTATTACACTTTCCTGTTCAATGGCCCAAAATGCCTCAAACTTTGAATGAAGGCAATCCTCCAAGCAGCCTCTTGTCTCCCAAAACAATCTAGCAGAATTTGTTCTAACCATTTTAAAGGGCAAGTATTTTTCTGATAAATACACATTAGGGGTGCGATGGTTTAAATTACTCACAGTTCGGTTCGTATCACGGTTTTAGGGTCACGTTTTCGGTACGGCTCGGTATGTGTGTGTTTAGGGCAAAAAAAAAAGCTACTGTCAAATTCAAAGAAAGTTTATTGGGTTACAAATACTGAAACCCTTGGTCACAACAGGCTTCTTTACAAAAATAAAATTCTAAGCAGTTTTTAATCCCTGCTAAAACCAACATTTTAACTTAAGAGAAGCCTACTTTAGAGTACCAACATAAAGTGCATTTCAAAACAAACATAAAATAGCTCAGACCAAGAACACTGGGTCACTTTTTCATATTCTATCTATTCAACTATCTTCACGATTTTTTGCAAGAAAATCAGTTTAACATTTTCAGTTGCAAGTCGAGATCTGCTTGCAGAAACAATGTCTCCCGCAGTGAACACTGTTTTGCTTGGCACTGATGTTGCACAGACACAAAGGTATTGTTGTGCAAGTTTAGCAACATGAGGATACTTGCTCTCATGCAACTTCCACCATGCAAGTGGATCTGCATCTGTCTCAATGCAATCTTCTGCCTTGTATGACATCACCTCCTTCTCTATAATATCAGTAAAAGTCTTTGTCTTGCACTACGCGCGCCGTTTTCTGACAGTTAATGCCTGTCTGAGAAAAGTGTAAGTGTAGTGAGGGGTTTTACAGCCTTAAAACATCTATAATAATTATAAAAAATAAAGCTGGCTACTTCGTGGATTTCGCCTATTGCGGGTTATTTTTAGAACGTAACTTCCACTGTTAACAAGGGACCACTGTATATATTTTTAAGTAAAATGTCATATTTTTAAATCATAAAAATACCTGCTGTTGTTCAGAGATTTCTCTCTACAAGGCTGCATTCATATAAGGTAGAGACTTGAATCTCGGATCAAGGAATGATGCCCTGTTGAGATACTCTTGGAGGTTAGGATCTGTGTATCTGTTTTCAAAGTCCTGAGTGATGGCTGCCTTGGCATCCTTTATGGCTAGACTCTCATCCTCTACAGGCTCCATGGATTTGAGTATCATTCTCTTCAGAGGGAGAACCATTGACAGAGATGGAGTTGTTTCAGTGCTTAAGAGGGTGGTGATTGTCTTGAGGGGCTTAAGCAGATTAATCATTTCCTCTGCCAGTTTCAGTTCACTGTCAGACAACACTGCAATGTCAACACCGACATTCTTCTAAACATTTTTGTCCATTAGGGCAGAGTAGATGTCAGGCTGCTGCTCCAGATATCTCTCAATCATGTCATAAATGGTATTCCATCTAGTTGGGCAGTCATGTATAAGTTTGTGAACAGATATGAGCATCTCCTGCTTGACTTTCAGGGCATGAGCAGCTGTTGTGCTTTTATGGAAAAATGTTACAATTTTTCTGACTTTACCCAACAGACGGCTTATCTGTTGAATTGCTACTGCCTTCTTGGCTGCAAGGTTCAGAATGTGTGCAAAACATCCAATTTGTGGCCCTAATCCAGCTGCTGCTTTTATGGCATTTACCATGTTTTGTGCATTATCTGTGGTGACTGGAATGGTGATGTTAGGTCTCTCCAACTTCCAGTCTGTAACTGCACTCATCAGTGCATCGGCCAAATGGCTACTTGTGTGGCTTTCAAAAAGAGGGCATGTTTGAAGGACAGAGCCCTTTCAGCCCTTGGTATTTCTTGAAGCAGGTGGCGGCTCTATTAGCAGCTTGTCTCCTCTGCTCGCCATGCTGAACAGTAACGTTATGCATCCGCAACACACACACACCAACACATAAGGAACTGTGTCATATAGCAACAAATTTACATACTACGAGTTGATTGGACGGCAGTCTCACATGAAACGCACGTAGGGCATATTCAGAACCATACATTAGCTGAACTCTGTTTTATGCATTGTTTTTTTTTTTTCACCGAACTGTATTGTAAGTGCGTGGTCAGAGCAACTGTGGTCCACGTGCGTGTCGAACAGTGGGAGGATAACGGGACGGTTCAAATCTTTACCGAGAACCGTTGCACCCCTAATACACGTACATAAATGATGCCACCTTATATGTTGAGATTAGTTATCTGGACAGAGATCTCAGATGTTGTTCCTGGGATCTGTTGGAGCCACTCTCCCAGTTTGGGGGTCACAGCTCCAATGTCCCTATTACCATGGGGACCACTTGTGCCTTCACCTTCCACATATTTTCTAGCTCTTCTTTCAGCCCTTGGTATTTCTTGAGCTTCTCGTGTTCCTTCTTCCTGATGTTGCTATCGCTTGGGATTGCTACATCTATCACTACAGCCTTCTTCTTCTGTTTGTCCACCACTACTATGTCTGGTTGGTTGGTCTTTGTCAGTTTGTATCTGGAAGTCCCACAGGATCTTAGCTTGGTCATTCTCAAACACCTTTGGAGGTGTATCCCAATTTGGCTTTGGACTTCCAGCCTGTACTCGGCACAGATGTCTGTACACTGTGCGAGCCAGGTTATGGCGTTCCATGTATGCCCTAACCCTGCCCTACATACATAGTCCATGTGTACAGCACTTAAATCGAGGCTGATATATACTACGGCATGCTGAAGTCAAGCTTAGAATAAGACTGCTGCCTTTGTTCTACTGCAATCCTAATTTAACAAAGCATGTAATTTCGATAGAAAACAAACATCTCGTCAGTTTTACTACTGGTGCAAACTTCATTAAGGTGTGTTTTGCTGAAAGTTTGCTTGTGTGTGTGTATATGCTTGCAGAGCAGCACTTTCATCCTGCATCAAAAGGTGGAATATGTCAAAGATTACACTTGATCTAAGCCAGGCGTCCTTGGAGTTCAGTCTTGTCTTTAACCTTAGACAATAAAATTATATTCGTATGATAAAATGGAAAACGGAAAATGCATAAGCAAGCTAATATTAGCCACATAGTTGGTGTGCAGATAATGCGCACTTGTTTTCAGGCATTACAGTGTATATTGAGAAACTGAATGACTATTTTTCATTATAATGTCCACATAGACCAAATAACTTACTCGCATTATGAATAAACTTTGTCAAACACCTCAGCCTTTCAGTCAAATTCTTATCTGAGCCTGATATCCTCACTTGCGCTCCAAACCGGAACCTTTCAAGTGGGCATGTTTTTTTGGGATTGAACGCTGCATTTGTACCTGTATCATGTTAAAGCTAGTCCAATGCTCCCTTTTTTTATTTTTGAATCACCCAACATGTTGAACGCTTTCCTTCCACAAATGCAGGCTAATTTCTGAGTTTATAAATGCAGTAAATGCTTCATTTTAGTGTGTAGTAGAAGCAGAGCGATTACTTGAATACTTTGGCAAAAATTAGTATATTATGTAAAATCTTGGTACAGAGCACAATTTTCAAGAGTTCAGTAACAGCCCAAGTGTATTGCACAGTGGCTAAAATGACCTGACGGTGCACAGTCGTATAGCACCAGGCCGCTGAGAGCAACTTAAACGGCTGCAGTGTGCCATCATGTTTAGAAGTGTGACATGCCTACTGGAAGGGCGCCCTTCCCCAAGTGTAATGGGGTCTTGTATCTCTGTGCACTGCTCATCTGTTGCTTACTTAGGTATTTTGTTAGTTTTTAGCAGTTGATGGATTTGAATGATGTTGCCCAACGTTAAATTCACACTTGCTCTGCAGTAAGAGCAATGTCAACACTGCATTTTGATGACACTGCAATAAAATTGGGCTATCTAGAACACAAGGAAAAGTTGGATTTGAGCTAAACCATCCTACTTTTGTAAATTTTATATTTTAAAAGTGCATACAATCTGTTGTACCCATGCAGATGAAAATTTGCTGTGTGGATCTGTACTTGCGCTATCAAAAAAATCACTTATATACTCCTTTTTTGGGCATGGCCTTCCTTAGCAGATAGCAATATTGGAGAGAGGAACAAAATAAGGGAGAGACGTGGAATAAGGTTATCCGGGGACAGTGTTTGTGTCACAATGTTCATGAGGGCACTACACTGACCCATAGTTAACATAATCTCTCCAATGTGAATGGCATCATCATGTTCATATCTGTAAAGTTAAGAAGCTTGTTGAATGTTTAGCTCTTGACGTGTGTGTGTGTGTGTGTGTGTGTGGGTGGGCTTTGTAGCTTGTTGGTTTGGCAGGTGTTGATCATATCTATGGTGTTAACAACTCCCCCGGTTCTTGTGATTTCTTACAGAAGGATGCAGCCCCCCCAGCTGAGTGCAGGCAGCAGTGAAACCTGACCCAGCTGCCTTGAGGAACAACTGCACTGTAATGGCTTCTCAAAAAAATAATAAAAAAACAACCTTACTTACCGCCTTATAATGTTTTGTAATTTTCTTGGTAGCGAATTTGAAGAAAAGGTTTAAAGATTTTGTTACACAAACTCATGGTAATATACTGGGAGCGGTGTGGCTCAATATACATAGTATTTTACTAGACCTGTTTCTTCTTTGTTCTCTGTACAATAGATAGGATACAGGAAAAAATCTCCCTCAAAAAGCATGAACTTGTTCCTTCACAGCTAAACTAGTTTGGAAGTTTTTTGTTGTATTTGCTCTTAGACAACAGCTGTGGTCTAGACTGCATCATGAAAACTTGAGTTTAAATTCTCCGTCCCCACCCTGTTCCTACTAAACTTCCATATTAGTCATTTTTGGCTGTCCCAGGTGCATCTCTTTTTATTCTTAGTGGGGCTTTGAGCACTTGTAAAAGCACTGTAGCATTTCCAGCTCTATAGACAGGACAGATGGGTGACCAGCATCAGAGTGTCCATTCCACTTTATCTAATCTCGCGACCATGGGATCTGGAGTTGTTTTTTGGCCACTTCTTGTGCCACTTATGCTCAACTAGTATGCTCTTGAATACATTCCAGTAAGCAGACTGGCTGGCACCACCGGTGAACCTTGTCAAGAAGGGGTCCCCTTCTCTTCAAATGGTTGGCTCATCTAAACTCGATAAAAATCATGTTTGTCTCAATGTCTTTGTCATTGTCGCAGTCATTTGCTCAGGGCTTGCTGTGGCCTGGCTGAATCTCTTGAACATTCTGAAGAACTTTTTCTAGCCGAGGAAGGGGACGAGACAGTTTAACACGAGGACAAGTTCAGGACCTGGAGTCCCAGTAATCCTGTGCTTCAGGCTCCTTGGAAGGCTTGCAGTGATGTGGCTGTCTTTACTATAACACTTATGTGTGGTGTACCCATGGTGTCCTGTCATCAGTTCTCTAAGTATTCCTTGTGAACAGCACTTGGAAGGACCTCTGCCTGAAGGGGCAGAGGGCGGTGCTGTAACCCTGCTCTGTGGAGAGTTCAGCTAGTGCAGTATTTTTTTTATTTTGTGCATTATCTTTCTTACCAGGAGAGGCACATTTAATCTTTTCAGAGAGGGCTTTGTATGAACTGGATTGGGCAGATGTAGCACAGTAGATGACAAGGAAAGTCTGTTGGCATGTAAGGTTTGCCAACATGCCTCTCGTTTATTTACCTCTTGTGTTGCCAATCTGTGACTGGTCAGGTGACTGATAGACCTTAGTCCAGCGCCGCGGTCTTGGTTTATTTCTATCACTGTGAAAGAAAGAGGGAAAGTGTGAAAAGGCCATTGTGTGGCTAATGACCCACCACCTTCCCCGCCCAACCTGCTTCCTTTCTTACCCGGAAGGCCACAGAGGAGCATGTCGGAGCAATACTTAAAGCCAGGAGGGGGGGACTGAGAAGAAACCTTGGCCTGTGGCTCTCTTCATCCATTCTTAAAGCCTTCTTAGTTGTGAAAACAGCTAAGTGTTATTTGTGTTGGCCTTCATTGTCTCCACTCTGGTGAGCCAGGGTACTTCTCATTCTGCAGGGAGTATTCAGATTGTGTTCACTGAAAAAGGACATGATGGGGTTCTGTAGTGTCCTTCTGAGCAGCTGTTGTCAAGGCAAAATGCTATGCTACAAAAATACTAATTGTACTCAGTAACTATGTGTATGTTCATGAATAAATTGGTTAAACATGTTAAATGATTCTTTTTTTTATCAGTTTTTTGTTTTAGTAATCACACCTGTTGACAAAAATATGCATGAACTTAGTAAGTCACTGGTAAAGACTTCCAAAATATATATATATGTATACAGATTGAAGGCGGACACGAAGTACCTATCCTGTGACCCTTTATGGGCAGCTCTGCACCTCCAGAGGGCGTCATTGCTGTGAGATTGTGCGACATCTACACATGACCAGAGCTCCATGGGGAATGTGATTTACAGTGAACTGAAACATAATCGCATCAGATGCCACACAGACACCAGAGCAATTACATACCAATGTAGAGATGACTGCGACTATGGTGAAAGTAAGGAACTGAGTGCACAAACACTTGGATTGCACATAGTCCTGGTTGAGACCATTAGACCCAAAGCCTTAGTGTGAGAGAAGACCTGTACCACAACTGACTATATCAATAGTCAGTACATACAGGAGGTGGTTTAATGGGAAACACTGGAAGAACATATACATTTCCCACATGTTTTCATATAATGCAGTGTTTGGAGTTTCGTTTGTATTATTTCTCTGCCTATAAAAGTCTTTTTAATGAACAAATATTTAAGAATAAGTGTATATTGGGGAATAGTCGCCTAATAATTGGATATTTAAAATTAACCTTTAATGTACTAAAAATGAAAAACTCGTTAATATTAGACGGCTTTGTGATTTTTATGGATTCGAGAGGCTGGTGCCGATCGGGGGCGGTACACCTCTCCAGACCCCTCCCGCTCCCAAGCCCCCCTCACTCACTGTGGCCAGCCGCCAGACGGTCAAAGCAGGCAGCCACCTCTTCACTACACCCAGCCCCAACTCGACACCGCAGTCACAGCAGCATCTCATGCCTTTACTTGCTCCGGGATAAACTGCCTTCCGCCAGAACAAGTCAAGCAGCCAGAAAGGTGGAAGAATCCAAGTGAAGATGTTGGAAAACGGGAGGAAGGTATTCAAGGAGGGTCTACTGGAGAAGCGGAGCGACGGACTGCTGCAGCTCTGGAAGAAGAAGCACTGCGTCCTGACCGAGGACGGCGTGCTGCTCCTGGCGCCCAAGCAGCACGACCACCATCAGCCGCACCAAGGTGGCGGAGACATGGGCAAAATCAAGGAGCTGCACTTCGCAAACATGAAGACGGTGGACTGCGTGGAACGGAAGGGCAAGTACGTCTACTTCACGGTGGTCATGACCGAGGGGAAGGAGATCGACTTCAGGTGCCCGCAGGACGAGGGCTGGAACGCGGAGATCACCTTGCAGATGGTTCAGTACAAGAACCGGCAGGCGATCTTGGCTGTTAAGTCCACCCGACAGAAGCAGCAGCTGCTCGTCGTGCAGATGCCCGGACAGAAGACGGTCCGCAGCTCGCCAAACGTTGCGTGACCTGCGGCGAGTCCCGCGGACATTGGTGCCCCATTAGCGGTAAGACAGGTCCGGGACCACCTGGCATCCCCCTGTAAATTAAGGACCCGCTTTTCTCTGTTGTTTTATTTCCTGGATATTTACACCATGAGTGAGGACGGGTTTATGCATCGTAGGTTGCAGTCCTCCCTCACACATCAAACTCTGAGCAAATATTCTTCCAGAAGGCAGAGAAATGTACAAAATGTGGATTTATTTTGACGTAAAAAAGTTTGTGAGCTCCTGCTCTAGGCCCGCCTATAAGTCCCCCTTACGGAGGTGAAAACCTCCACAGGGAAATGTACTGGATAAACATTCCCAGAGGGGTCTGATATTTCATACAAGGGGATCTCCTTTATATCCATACAAATGGCTTTAAACGCTCAAATTACGCACACCTCCTAACTATATACATGGAAAGGTGTATGTGTGTTTAGAGTCACTTGAAAATTAGAATTACAAGGACGAATCAGTGCTAGAATGCAAGTCCACGGTATTAAGGTTTAGCACCTAAAAATGTGTCAAGTTGTGTCCGTGTCCAAATTAAGCGTAAAGACGCACGAATTGCGTAAATATCAAAGGCATTCAGGTGTTTCTGTTTTTGATGAGTGTATGCATATACCTTGACATTCAAATTTACTCTGGTACTCTAACCTGTAGTGTAAAAGCAGTCTGGGCTTTGTGTATCACACCAGAGCCAAGTGTATGCTGCTTAACAGTCTAAATAAACTCTCCAGCAGCTCATCAACGCGACTTTAGCCGACACCCTTGTGTGTATGGCTTGATAGCAAATATCCATACAGGTGGCTGTCAGAGGCACAGGGTGAGTTTAACTCGGTTATTTTAAACATGAATGAACCTAACATTTGGAAACAATGTGGTCACATTTGATTATTTAGCCATTGTGATGAACTGTCTGGGAATAAGTCACCAAACAGTCTAAACAGTGGTTCTGAATGCTCCCCTGATGTGAAGTGCAGTAAAGAGTAGCTGACCATATCTTGTCAGGTAGTTACTGTAAGGTCGGAGGTTGTCGTCTCTATTTTACCTAAGAATTCTGGGATTGTAATGTCATTCAGCAATGAGAAATGATAGCAATAACACATGGTCTTTGTAGGCTGATTCCAGCTGATTTTAAATTTAATGTGCTGCATGGGTTTTTTATTTTATTTTACAGTTTTCAACGAGAAAAAATGTTAAATTAATAGATAAAGGATTCAATATTTCTCCACCAGAATTTTAATATTTTCTGAAGGTGAACTAGTTTCAGAAAAACGTCCTAAGTATTTCTACATTCCTGACTCCCTGCTGAGGAGTGAAACCCACTGGTTTTTTAATGTAAAAAACAAATACCTCCCCAGTTGAAACTTTCATATAAAGTGACAGAAAATAGATTTTCCATTATGTTAGTGTGAGTTGATGTCCATGGTAGGAGCTGGATTGTTTAAATAAGCAGTCTGAGGTCCTGTTATATTGAATCTGTGTTTCAAGTGTCTTTTGATTTCCTTAGCCTCGTGCGTTAGGTACCATCACTCGGCAGTCTGTCTAATAAATTGCATCTGCAGGTTAATTGGACACTCAGCTGGAGGACGAATATTGACCCGGGCTGCATCTCCCCCCGTCGCTACACCGCCAAACTCAATTCTCCAGGAGAACCCCTCTTCCATATAGTGGTTTCCACAGACCTGCACCCCGTCCCTTTTCAATGCAGAGACTTATTTCACAAAAGACTGATGGACAAAAAGCATGTGAGAAAACTACTGTATTCTACTGTGTGCTGGGTTCATCCCTTATTTATTAGATGTGTATATATATTTTCTATAAAAATGTTGCTGATGAATCTTCAGTGTGGTTGTTGTAAGAGTGGAACGGGAAATACTTGTTTGGCATTTCATGGCTTTCAAATTGCTCATAAGGTCCAGTGGGAATAATATTTCATATAAAATTTTCCATAGGATGGTTGCTGTAGGTTAGACACATCAGTTCATTATTTATATAATGTGTCTTTGTCCTTGTTTTTATTTTTCAACTGAACCAAAGAATGATTTCATTACATTTCTATCTTGTGCAGTGTTACACCTTTGAGTATACTATACTAAAATATGATACTGTATATGATGAGATACCTGCACCACCTAATTATAATAAGTGCTTGTAAGCTTATTTATTATTTGTTACAGTACATTGTAGTATTTTCATTGTGTATATCAGTAATTTTTCAGCATATTTTTTTTGACTGCATTCATAGATACAAATTCAGTCTCTGGCTTTCACGCAAGTCTTAAATCTGAGGAAGATAACTTATTAGCCCCAGTTTGCTTTCAGAGAAAAGCTTAGTTATGGTAACATACACAGTGGGGGTTATTGGCGGTTTTCAGCTGAGATGCTCCATAGACATTTTCACTGGTTGCATGTCTGTTTCAAGACTTAGTGGGCAAAGACAAATAACCACAGTTTTTCTGGCAAGGTAACATCAAACTGAAACCCCAAAATAAGCCCTAAAGGAGACCAAAACAGATAACCAAATAGAAAAAGGATAAGCTCTTTGATATTTTTATATTTGTGGAAATTCAGAGACACTGTCATTGTGTTGAAGGCTCTTGGTCAAACCAGGAGAAGCTGTGTTGCAACATATTTTTACTTAACAGACCTCTTGACAGATTGGTAGAAAAAGTTGATGGTACAAATATGAATTTGGAATAAACTGTGTGATTTTGTTGTCTTGTGAGCAGATGAGCTAGCTATCTTGCTAAATGACTGTTAGCAGAGAGCTATGATTGATTCCTGGCTAGCTAGCATGTTAGAATTTAGTTTTTCAGTCATGTGAGTGCAACATGTTTTGCTGTAGTGCTTTCTTTAGGTATAGTGTACAGTATTTCCATATATTTTGGCAACAAAAAAAGGCTCAAGCCATTGTGTAGATTTTTTCTCCAGTAGTGTGTTATTTCTCTTGGCTCCAAAATGACAAGGGCTATAAAGTTAGTAAACAAAATAAGTATTTAGCTACTTACCTAGGTGCTAGCCTTCCAATATCATAAATACAGTGGACTTTGTACTTTGACTTGATTGCTCCTTGGCAATTCAAGCTTGCCATCTAAGTCAAGCTAAAACAGACTTGCTGGCCGAACCCACTGCAGCGTGTCATTTTATTTCTGTCTGTAGCAGCTCTGTCTCTGAGAAATGTTCAAGAAACTCTTAGATCTACAAGTTACACATTTTAAGGCATGAAATGATATTCAGGAGAAAATGATCAGACTAAATAATTTAACTGAAACTTCTAAAGGCGGTGATAGATGACATTTAGTGGAATGTGACAGATGTTCTTTTTGTGATGGAGTGTTGTCAGGAAACATTTTATTTCTCCATAGGTCATGTTGCTTCCTGTTTGCTGGGAGTGTTTCCTACTGCTTTCCTCTCTTGCCAGTGTATCATCGCCAAACCAACACATGCCTCCATGCTGCTGTCATCTCCCACACAGGGTAATAGCTGTGCCCTTTATCTAATACGACTGGTGTGATGCTTCTCTGACATGCCTTCCCGTTGACATCATTACACACACAGTTATAGCTGCGCCCTTTGTAACTACTGTCCAATTTCTTATTTCAACATGAGATCTATTTTCATACTGTACCTCAAAAAGATACATTCCATTAAAAATAAAACAAAAACAGCATAGTTTTGTGAGTGGTTTCTCTTCCCTTTACACACAGCAGCCGATACATGTCAGCACTCTGTGGTTCAGCGAGGTCATTTAGATGACCTGTATAACTAGTTGCTGCTCTGTCAGTTTCTAGCCTTTCATGCTTTACAACTGTTGAACCTTTCACCCCCGTTTCCTCATCTAAAAGTAGAAGCTGTGAAGAGAATTGGGTTTCACTGCCAGTTGTTGCCGCTCAGATAAACTGCCAGTGCATAATGTCAAAAGCACACGTGGTTACTCTCCTGTCTACAGCTGAGCTAATTCAAATAATCACATATTGCATCCTTTCTGACACATGGAGGGTCTGTTGCCGCTAGAAGAATACACCATTTCTCTATGAATATCAGTATGGACCCTACAGTCACCTGCTTCCCCAGTCCTTAAATATTGCTTTTCCTCTATTTTTGCACAACAGGGAGATTAAAGAAAGTCACACTGGTGCAATCAGAAGAGAAACCCAACAGTGAAATCAAAAAATATATTTTCCTAAAAAGACCCATGTAATTTTGCAATAGTTAGAGTGACAAAGCCTATAGGTAAAACAGAAACAACATTCAGTCAGTACACTTATAGTTAATTAGTTCCAATTAACTGCTAAGCTAACATAACCTACAAAATCTGCTGTTTCTCTACAGGCAAGCACACAATTCAACATGCATGAAGAAGTTTCCAATTATCAGTGAATGCTGAATACATTTTTACTTCAGCATATATTAAGCAGTTCTTTTAAAGAGATTCCACTGGGAATGTATAACACATTGTGACTAGTTCATCTAACTAAAATACAAGTCTCAGGGTTCTATTTGCTGTACAATTAGCACCAAACACAGTAGAAAGAAGAAATTATTTGGCCATAACGGACCAGTGAAATAAGGGGTTACCAAATCTCTTCTTGCTCTTCAGAAAGTGGTTAATTTCTCTGTGGTTGTTTTGTGTTCCTGCTGTCCTAAAAGCAGAGAAAAGATCACTGAGTCTTTCCCGTTGTTGATATCTCTGTCATCACAGCGTGCCACTTTGAATCAGCCACAGCAGCTGCTCTTCAAACAGCATGTAGGGTGACCGTGAACATATCAAAATCAAATCAAATCAAAATCAAATTTTATTTGTATAGCACCAAATCACAACAAAAGTCATCTCAGGACACTTTACAAAGTAAGGTCTAGACCTTACTGTTATCAATATTATTACATAGGGAAAACCCAACAAATCCCCCTTGAGCAAGCACTTGGCGACAGTGGGGAGGAAAAACTCCCTTTAATGGAAAAAACCTCCGACAGACCCCGGCTCTTGGTGGGCGGCCTTCTGCCTCGATCGGTTGGGGTGAGTGGATAGAGGAGAGACAAAAGAAGAAAAGCAAGAAGACACAACAATCAAATACTGATCAGGTCGATGTGGCTGGTGACTGCTCGTCAGAGACGTAGAGCTCCAGGGCCAGGGCAACCTGCAGAAAGGTACAGGGAGAGAGAGAGGACACACTACGGGAGAAAGGAGACACACAGTCAGTAATGTGTAATGGTGGCATATAGAAACAT